AAAATGGCAGGATCAAACTCACACATAACAATATTAACATTGAATGTAAATGGCCTAAATGCCCTAATCAAAAGACACAGACTGGCAAACTGGATAAAATGTCACAACCCCTCAGTGTGCTGTATTCAGGAAACCCATCTTACATACAAAGACACACATAGACTCAAAAGAAAGGGATGGGAGAAGATTTACTGAGCAAATGGATACCCCCCTAAAAAAAAAAAAAACAGGGGTTGCAATCCTAGTCTCTGATAAAATGGACTTCAAACCAACAAAGATCAAAAGAGACAAAGAAGGATACTACATAATGGTAAAAGGATCAATCCAACAAGAAGTGTTAACTATCCTAAATATATATGCCCCCAACACAAGAGCACCCAGATACATAAAGCAAGTTCTTAATAACCTAAACCAAGATTCAGACTACCACACAGTAATAGTGGGAGATTTCAACACTCCACTGTTATTATTAGACAGATTAACGAGACATAAAATTAACAAGGATATCGAGGACTTGAATGCAGAGCTGGACCAAGCAGACCTAAGAGACATATACAGAACGCTCCACCCCAAATCCACAGAGTATACATTTTTCTCAGCACCACATCTCACTTAGTCTAAAATTGGCCACATCATTGGAAGCAAATCACTCCTCAGCAAATGCAAAAGAATGGAAATAATAACAAATAGTCTATCAGACCACAATGCAATCATATTAGAACTCAGGATTAAGAAACACACTCAAATGCACACAACCACTTGGAAACTGAAAAACCTGCTTCTGAGTGTCGACTGGATAAACAATGAAATGAAGGCAGAAATAAAGATGTTCTTCGAAACTCATCAGAATGAAGACACAACTTACCAGAAACTCTGGAACACCTTTAAAGCAGTGTCTAGAGGGAAATTAATAGCAATAAATGCCCACATGAGAAGTAAGGAAAAATCTAAAATTGATACCCTATCATCAAAATTGAAGGAGCTAAAAGACGAAGATCAAAAAAATTCAAAAGCTAGCAATAGCTAAGATCAAGAAATAGCTAAGATCAGAACAGTACTGAAAAAGATAGAGACACAAAAAACCCTTCAAAAAATCAATAAATCCAGGAGCTGATTTTTTGAAATGATCAACAAAATAGACTGCTAGCCAGTTTAATAAAAAAGGGAGAAGAATCAAATAGATGCAATAAAAAATGATGAAGATGATCTCACCACTGATTCCACAGAAATACAAACTACCATCAGATTACTACAAAAGTTCTGTGAATATAAACCAGTAAACCAGGAAGAAATGGATACATTCCTAGACACTTGTATTCTGCCAAGACTAAACCAAGGAAGTTGAAACCCTGAATAGACCAGTATCAAGGGCTTAAGTAGAGGCAGCAATCAATAGCCTACCAACCAAAAAAAGTCCAGGTCCAGATGGGTTCACAGCCGAATTCTACCAGATGTACAAAGAGGAGCTTGTTCCATTCCTTCTGAAACTGTGTCAAACGATACAAATGGAGGGAATCCTCCCCAACTCATTTTATGAGACCAACATCATCCTGATGCCAAAAACAGGCAGAGACTCAGATAAAAAAGAAAACTTCAGGTCAATATTCATGATGAATATCGACACACAAATCTTCAATAAAATACTGGCAAACAGACTGCAACAGCACATCGAGAAGCTTATCCATCACGATCAAGTAGGCTTCATCCCGGGGATGCAAGGCTGGTTCAACATACACAAATCCATAAATGCAATCCATCACATAAACGGAACCGAAGACAAAAACCACATGATTATCTCAATAGATGCAGAGAAAGCCTTCGACAAAATTCAATAGCCCTTCATGCTAAAAACTCTCAATAAACTAGGTACTGATGGAACGTATCATAAAATGATAAAAGCTATATATGACAAACCTACAGTCAACATCATACTGAACAGGAAAAACTGGAAGCATTCCCTTTGAAATCAAGCATTAGACAAGCATGCCCTCTCTCATCACTCCTATTTAATATAGTATTGGAAGGTCTAGCCAGAGCAATCAGGCAAGAAAAAGAAATAAAGGGTATTCAATTAGGAAAGGAGGAAGTCAAAGTGTCTCTATTTCCAGATGACATGATTGTATATGTAGGAGACGCCATCGTCTCAGCCCAAAATCTTCTCAAACTGATATGTAACTTCAGCAAAGTCTCAGGATACAAAATCAGTGGCAGAAATCACAAGCATTCCTATACACTAATAACAGAACAGACAGAGAGCCAAATCAGGAATGAACTTCCATTCGCAACTGCTACAAAGAGAATAAAATACCTAGGAATAAAACTAACAAAGGATGTAAAGGACCTCTTCAAGGAGAACTACAAACCACTGCTCAATGAAATAAGAAAGGACACAAACATGGAAAAACATTCCATGCTCATGGTTAGGAAGAATAAATATCCTGAAAATGGCCATACTGCCCAAAGTAATCTACAGATTCAATGCTATCCCCATCAAGCTACCAATGACCTTCTTCACAGAACTGAAAAAAACCACTTTAAACTTCATATGGAATCACAAGAGAGCCCACATAGCCAAGACAATCCTAAGCAAAAAGAACAAAGCTGGAGATATCACATGCTGTACTTCAAACTATACTACAAGGCTACAGTAATCAAAACAGCATGGTACTGGTACCAAAGCAGAGATACAGACCAATGGAACAGAACAAAGGCCTTCGAAACAACACCACACATCTACGACCATCTGATCTTTGACAAACCTGACAAAAAGAAGCAATAGGGAAAGGACTCGATGTTTAATAAACGGTTTTGGGAAAACTGGCTAGCTATGTGCAGAAAGCAGAAACTGGACCCCTACCTGTCACCTTATACTAAAATTAACTACAGATAGATTAAAGATTTAAACATTAAACCTAACACCATTAAAACACTAAAAGAAAACGTAGGCAAAACCATCCAGGACATAGCCATAGGCAAGGACTTCATGACTAAAACACCAAAAGCAATGGCAATAAAAGGCAAGATAGACAAATGGGATCTAATTAAAATTCAGAGCTTCTGTACAACAAAAGAAACCATCATTAGAGTGAACTGGCAAACAACAAAATGGGAAAACATTTTCACAATCTACCCATCTGACAAAGGGCTAATATCCAGAATCTATAAAAAAACTAAAACAGATATACAAGAAAAAAACAAACCACCCCATTCGAAAGTGGGTGAAGGAAATGAACAGACACTTTTCAAAAGACATATATGAGGCCAAGAAACACATGGAAAAATGCTCATCATCACTGGTCATTAGAGAAATGCAAATCAAAACCACACTGAGATACCATCTCATGCCAATTAGGATGGCGATCATTAAAAAATCTGGAGACAGCAGATGCTAGAGAGGATGCGGAGAAATAGGAACACTCTTACACAGTTGGTGGGAGTGTAAATTAGTTCAACTATTGTGGAAGACAGTGTAGCGATTTCTCAAGGATATAGAAATAGAAATTCCATTTGACGCAGCAATCCCATTACTGGGTATATACCCAAAGGATTATAAATCATCCTACTATAAAGACACATGCACGCGTATGGTCATTGCAGCCCTGTGTATAATAGCAAAGACCTGGAACCAACTGAAATGCCCATCAGTGATAGACTGGACAGGGAAAATGTGGCACATATATACCATGGAATACTATGCAGCCATAAAAAATGATGAGTTCATGTCCTTTGTAGGGACTTGGATGAATCTGGAAACCATCATTCTCAGCAAACTGACACAAGAACAGAAAGCCAACACAGCATGTTCTCATTCACAGGTGGGTGTTGAACAATGAGAACACGTGGACTCAGGGAGAGGAGCATCCCACACTGTGGGCAGTTGGCTCGGGTAGGGGAGAGACAGAGGGGGATGGAGAGGGAGGGGAGGGTGGGGAGGAGAGGGATAACATGGGGAGAAATGCCAGATAGAGTATGAACCTAAAGTAAAAATAAATTAAAAAAAGAAGATGCAGCCAAAAGAAATAAGAAGAAATCTAAAGTGTCGTATTTAACAAAAGAGAATATTTCAAGAAGGAAGTGGGAACTGGAATTAAATGCTGCCGAAAAGTCAAGTCAAATAAATAGAAAGTATCCATTAGACTTACAGATATTGAGATACCAGTCCTATGTATATAATGGAAACTAGATAGGTAGGTTGAGAAGTGACAGAAGGTAACTGAGACACTGAATGAAGATTTCAACTGTTGAGAAGGTTCACTTTAAGGGAGGGAACAAACAGCATGATAGATTATATGGAATAAAGGGGTTCAGAGAGGTTTGTTTTAAAATGGGAGACTTTTGGACATATTTAAATGCTGGTGGACCATATAGTCACTGAGATGAAGCTGATGACATAGGAGAGAGGAGATAATTGAGAATACAGGTTTTCTGAATTCTATACTGGAGTCTGTCACACATATCCAAATATTTCAGAAATTCTTAATTTAGAAAAGTCAGTGATTTTGAAAGTGACATTGTTATTCATTAGAATTATAGAATTCTATAAAGTAAAAAATGTCATAAAATTCTCTAGCCCCATATGATTCCCAAAGAAGTTAGGTGACTGACTTATCTGCTCTAGGTCATATGCCTACTATGTGATACAGCTATGAATCAAATTCTTCTGACTTTAAATTGCATGTTCTTTTCATGATTGCAGGGTGACTTTAATATACTGATCTGGGCAGCAGTTTTTAAATTGCATTCTGGAGAAGTATATATGCGGTCACAAGGGTTGTGAAGGTAGGGAGAGGAAGGAGATGCATACTGGAGAAAGAGGCTGTGTTCCAGAACTCTGGAATCTCAATTTCTATTTTATAAAAGCTGACCTTTTATCCATTTAATAAACTGGGCTCCTAATGAGACTCTATTAAAAAAAAGGAAAAGATTCAGCTGTGAGGAAAATAATGCAAACCATGATCAAACACATGTGCAAATATATATATACTTTAAAATATACTTACCGGGTGATAGCACTGAACAGTCCACGGATACGTGCTTTATGTCGAGCTACAAAAGCTTCTGTATAAATTACTCCTCTGTTATCAAGATCAATATGTCCGTTGATAATTCTACCAAGTCGCTGAGTTAGCGCCTGGGGGTACAGATGTAAATTTTTATTAATTTAAAAGAAAAGAATTACACATATGTATTTGCATAGTCATACTCAAGTCACGCTGCATGCTGAGGCACCAATTGTGATTGAGAGTTCAACAAGCATACAAGATACATAAATTAAAGTGAAGACACAGTATCTAAAAAGTTGACTATCTCATAGCAGAGCCAAGAAATGAGTCAAATTGCTTGCTTACGTGTTAAAAGGTTCAGCTATCATATTAGCTCTTGTTAATAAGGGTTATTTCTAATATAAAATAGAAATAATTAACTATAAATATGATTATTTGATATGACGGTTTCTGGAAGTAGGCAGCTTCCAATATATAGACAGCCTATTTGTATAAAACATACAAATAGGTCTTGGAGAAGACCCTTTCCGGAGCTGCTAACACTAACAGTCAAGTATAAATGTTATTCAAGATTCTGCAATATAGGAAAACAAAAGACCTCAGAAGTTATCCTCTTTGATGCAAATTTATCCCCGTCCAGAAGATCTATACGGCAGATGATCTGACTTCTTGGTAACCTGTTTTTAAGTTCAACAGAGTATTTCCCCCATAGCTACACTACGACTGGCGTCAGGTACATCTGAAATAAGTTTGGACGTATTTCACATCCTAAGTTAAATCTACTCAAGTCAGCACAGCTGATATTTTTATGACACAGAAAAATGTTTTTCAAACAACTTAATGAGCTTTTAGAATACTATCATATTCAGAATGGAACTGAAATATTAAAAAGTATATATGTTTCTAAGATATATTCAACAGTTTTATAAGAAATCATTTGGATTTGAGCTGGATACATTAAAGAAGTATTTTTAAAATATATTTGTTGTCTTGTGATTAACATGTTTGCTCATATAAAATAGAACTTCAGCTCCTGAAATACTATATAAAACAGATTTATAGTATAAATGGTATTTTAAATGGAATTAGGGAAGCTCGTTTTCTTAATATGAGTAAGGAAATCTGCTTGTATTATAAATTAATCTCATGCAATTATAGTTTGGCAAATTTTACAAGTTGGCATTTCTTAAGGTGATAGATACCTTTTCCCTTGTTTCAGTAAATATAAAACAGAACCAGCATTTATTTAGTGCCTCTATTGTGTCAGATATTTCCCTAGGTTTCAATGAAGCCTATAAAAAAGACAGTATTTCCTGTTCTACAGCTATGTAATTTGAAGCATAAAAGAGATGAAATGATTTTCTTAATGTGAAATAAGTAAGAAGTGGTACAGACAGTATTCAAATCAAGGTCCTTTAAAAACTTTAAAAGCCTATGCCCTTTCCACTCTACCAAATGAATTTCTATGATTCTTTAAAAAAAAAAAAGCAAACAAGAAAATAGTCTATATTTTCAGTCAGCATTGTTATTACATATAAGATATTTGAGTATTGACACAAATACCTAAAATTAAGATTCCTTGGTTCTTCTTCTCATCATACTGACAGTTTAGAAGATGATAAATGGTGAAATCAAAAGATGCTGGCACTACTGACATTTGGAACAAGAAAATTCTTCATTGAGTGTGATATCCGGTACATTGTAGGATGTTTAGCAGCATCCCTGACCTTTATTTACAAGATGCCAGTAGTACCCCCTATAAATTATTATCTTCATAAATTATTTCTTAAAATTAAACTGGGCAATCAGAAATGTAATATCCTGGTTGTGATTTTTACATAGCTGGTATCAAAAGCATTAAATAAATCCATGCATTTATTATACATTTGCTAACTGCATTAAAGCAGCCCTAGAGCTTAGTCTATAGTTTTAGACATCTCTCAGTTCAGAAAGATTGTAACCATTTTTAAAGTGTCTCCTCAGAACCATTAATGCAGAAGTACCCCCAAATATAATGCTATAACATATATCAAGTCAGACACCTTTAATAAATCAACTGATAGTTATTTATTTATTTATTTCTTACTATTTATTGACAGTAAGGAAGCCTAGTTTTTTTCCCTTTCCATTCAAATTCTTTGTTTAAAATTCTTTGCTAAAACAGACACACTGCATTATTATAAAAAAAAAATACCTGTGTCAGAAAGTTTCCAGGAAGATCATAGGTTTTACACAGTTCTGATATGGTGACCTGACCACTTTCTTGCAGTTTATCATTTACTTCTTCTGCTAACCAATCCAAATAATTCCTAATAGTGAAAAAAAGAAAATAATGGAAAAAAAGAGTTATAACGTTTTTTTCTGTTTGCTCTGTTTTATGTTTAATTTCTTTTGAAATGAGGTATGCCCCAAAAGTAATGAAGTATGTGTGCACATGAACACCATTCATCACTCATATTCTAAAAATTATTTTCTCATCAGTGTGGCTAAATGTAAGGTTAACCAAAAAATACATGTTTTTTTTTTTTTTCCTTTTTTTTTGAGTCAAGGTCTTACTCTGTCATCCACGCTGGAGTGCAATGGCACAATTATGACTCACTCCGGCCTTGACCTCCTGGGCTCAAGCAATCCTCCCACCTCAGACTCCAGAGTAGCTAGGACTATAGGTGCAATCCACCACATCGGCCTAATTTTTTAATTAGCAAACTTAATTAGTGAAATGGGGTTTTGCCATGTTGTCCAGGCTGGCATGTTGGGATTTTTTTACCAGTGGAAAATTGTATTTGATTTTCATGAACATTTTTGGAACAAATTTGCTTTCAGAGTTAAGATTATATGGGAAAGAACGTAAAAGTGATGTTTTATATTTTCCTATTAAGATAATAAGAAAAAAATGAAAGTTTATTATTTCCAAGTATTCCATATATTAACACTGATTTTTTTTTTTTTTTTTTTTTTTTTTTTTTTTTTAATTTGAGACAAGATCTTTGTTATGTTACATAGGCTGGTCTCAAATTCCTGGGCTCAATCAATCCTCCAGCCTCAGCCTTCTGAGTCGCTGGGATTACAGGTACATGCTACCATATTCAGCTTAAGCACTTACTTTTTAAGTGAAATAATCCTTATCATGAAAATCCACACTGTAAGAGTTCTAAATGAAATGTCTAACTGGCCATCATTGGCCTAAATTTAAACATTATTTAAAAGAAACAAAATCAACAAAGTGCTCCTAAATTTGCACTTGATTGTACTTACTCATCTATCAGTTGTCCCAACACTAACTGAACATGCTTTTCTGATTTAATAATGTCACCAATTCTATTTTCAATATGAATCAGGTCCACATTAATTACCTGGAAAAACAAATACAAATTATATTAGTGATAAGTTTGTATTGTTTCTTAAGCTTGAAATTATACACTTAGAACTGTATTTTTTAAGAAATTGCTGGCTGGACATGGTGGCTCATGCCTGGATCCCAGCACTCTGAGAGGATGAGGCGAGATGATCCATCCCTTCAGTTCAAGAGTCTGAGACCAGCCTGGGCAACATAGGGAGACCCCCGTCTCAAAAAAAAAAAAAAAAAAAGGAAAGAAATTGCTTATTCTTAAATTTTGCATTGATCTGAAATAATGCAAAAAGCATTAGTCAAATAAAAAATTAGAAGTGTATTCCTTATTTATTTTCAGTTCTAAAGAATTACACTATTACGTGCCAATAAGTTTATGTTAAGCAGTAAATTACATATTCATATAACAGATAACCATTTCACAGAAAATTTGCTGGCTTCTTGTGTATAGAGTACCTTGGTATAACATACATATCTGCATTTTTTAAAAATAGCTTATACTTTTAAAAATATCTATTACCTCCATATACTAAAAACATATAAACATGAAACTGGTGATTTTTCTGCCAAAATTATATAAACTCTGTATTTACATAAAATAACTATGAATTTGTTTTTTTTTTTTTTTTTAAAAAAATAAAAAGCCAACTGGAAAAGAGTTGGCCAACTCTGTAATAAAGCCAACTTATTAAATCATTTCAATACATCAGAATTTATTAAATCATTTCAATATATCAGAACTTATTAATTCAGTGTATGAGGGTTACATAACTATTTCTTTATAAACACTATACAAAATATGATACCAGCATTAGTGAAGACTTGAACAAATTAACAGTATCAAAAAATTGAGAAATCAAAGCAAAAATTTTATAAATTTAAACCTACCTGTTGTAGATCAACAATGTTTACTCGACCTTAAAGAAAAGACATTCATTTATTTTAAATGATGTATGAGTACATACCAACCCTTCTAACATTTAAGTTTTGGTCAAAGTCCTTCTGCCTAGAACAGAGAGCCAGAATAATTAATATCTTCAAATACACACCATTCATTAGCTGATGGCTAAGTTTTCGTAGCTGAAGCCATAAGCAATAACTTACTTTCCAAGTTTTTTTTTTTTTTTTTTTTTTAAAGTAACATCAGGCCAATTATGAGCATCAACTGGCACACAAATTGGCTATATTTATGCTGGGTATTCATTTCCCTTCACAACTAAGAATTTATCTACTGTGATCAAAGAGATACTGACAGCTAAATTAAGATGAACTTTTTCAATTATTTGATATTACAAGGTAGGTTTCTACATACCAGCATAAGAAAATCTGTTAAGTATTTCAAATTATAGCTCATATTTTAAAGGCACTATGAAGGAAGATAGAAAATAAAGATCAATGTTACACTGGTAATATGTAATGAAGAGATGCTTGAACAATTGCTTCTACTTTAATCAAATAGTTTTCAAATATGCTTGGTGGTTTGTTCAAATGTTAAGAGGACAAAGGAAACCAACTTTGCGTCTGCTTTTAATAGCATTTCATACAATATGATTGCTATAGCACCACACTGATTTGAATTACCTAATTTGTAAGTACAAGTAAGCCTTATAAAGAAATACAGCCTTGATTTTCAAAAATCTATAATCCTGTAAGATAGTGTCTCCCTTCACAATTACCACTTAATAACAGGCAGCTGAATACCCTTCCCTGAGTCATGCAATAATTGTTAAAAAAAAAATAAAAAAACCCCACAACAATTCACATACAGTACACATAAATCAAAATTATAACATACTATTTTGTTAAGTGATAACATTTGAGTTCATTTAAATTAATGACCAGGTTAGCATGAACCCAGCAAAAATATTAAGCCTATCAAATTAACAATTGAAAAGGATATCTATAAGTAATGTATTATGCAATCACAGTTTTAAGGATTTTTTTTTTTTTGACCCTTCCAAAAATCCAAGGGAAAAAACACTAAAGAATTACCTACCACCTCGGACATGTAGCTCGTCTCTCATTTCTTTACTAATTTGGGCTGGAGTAATATACTCCTTTCCATCAAGTGTATGAACTACTTCTAGCTGTTTCTGAGCAATCAATTTATTAACGATCTCAATGCAGTTCCGCTCGGACAACCTGAGGGAAAGAAAAAAGTTGTTTCAAAAGTCCACCTGATAACATTGGTGCTCAATAAAATTAACCCAATGTATGAAAACAGGCTTTTAAAAAGTTTATGTAGAGTCACTAACTTCTACATCATAAAATCTGTATTTTCACTAGCTGATTCAGTAAGTTGAAAAAAAAAAACTCTTCAGAGTAAGTAGGTTTACATATACTTAAATCAGTTATTTAATTGGTTCACATCATTCATCAAAAATGCCAAGTCACTTGTCTTTTCCACACCCGTTTCCAATCTTCAACTCTGAAGAGAAAATTGAAGACATTTACTTGGGTAGGGAAAAACAAACAAACAAAAAACATGCCCTACTTCGATGTCCTGTTTAATCAGAATTTTCTTCTACATTATGTGCATAATTGCCTCACTTATACACTTGGTCTGCAAGCAGGCAGGGTATCTGGCCTAGTAAAACCATAACTGCTACTGTTAGTTACGAATCCTAGTTTGCTCTCAGTGGTAGAAAACACAGCTGAGGACTGCTGTCTTCAGGCTCAAAAGGAATAAAACATGGCAGGTAGGAAGTAGTCAAAGAAAAGAAAGGCTTCTATTAGCGTTATTTTAAAAAGCAGAGTTAGGCTCCTCTGAACACATCCCCCAAAGGTTAGTGGGTTTGTAGAAAATGTCTGTGCCCTGAAGCCCTAAAAATGACAGATGGGGTCAAGGGTCTGGCCCTAGGTCTGTTACGAGAGACAAAAAGGCAAAAATTTCAAGAGTCAATATACTATTTTCCAAGTACTGTACTGGGCGGTTACTCTCTCCTTTCGCGGTCACTCTAGGTCAGGAAGTGTCTATTAGCTAAGACGTCACAGTGATTTGGCGGCCTGTGGGTGAGGGAGGGTCAGAGGAACGCTCAATTTATTTTAAAGGCAGCTCGAAGTCAACCGCCCCGTCCAAGGTGGGGCGGGGCGCGCCAGCATCTCACTGCGGCGGGGCTGGGGGGCTCCGGGCGTCCTAGGCTGCAGACTTCCCCAGACTTCCCCACAGAGCCCTGAACTAGGAACTGCGATCCAGGCTCGGCGGAGGGAGGAGGAGGGAATGGCGACACGGAGCGAGAAGATCCGGGCTGCAGGGCGGCGGACCTAAAGTCCTAGATACGGGCGTGTCCGCCCAGGGCCTAATCTGGGCTCCACTAACAAGAGGGAGGGTTGGGCACCTCTGCGTGGCCTCGGCGAACTGTGCCCGCTGGAAGTCGGCCGCCAACCGCCTAATCTCTTCCCAGGCGTCCGCCATCACGGCCCGACTCGCAGGAGACGCGGAGGAACTGCAGACACGTCAGCCGAGGAGCAGTGGGAGGAGAAGACTGGCGGGATGGGCCGCGCAGAGGGACAAGAAGCTCCACCCCGACGCAGGCGCCGAACGCGCGCGCCCCAGGCGGGCGCCGGCCCCAGTTCCCGCGGTCCGTCCGCGCGCTGCGGCTCCTCCCTGCGGCTGGCGGCGCTGCGGCCACTAGAAAGCTGGGGTTTCTGGGGGGTCATGGGCAGGCTGCAGGGCTCAGTAAAGTGTACTGTCAGAACTTGGTTTGCACTATCGCTAATATTTCCGCAGAATAATAGTTGTATTAGCTACTTTTCTTTTTTCTTCTGTCCTCCGTTTGTTTTGTGGGAGAGTGCAGAGGGATAAGCCTGTGCCTAAGATTGGCGCCTCATTTTTCTTTTCTTTTCTTTTCTTTTCTTTTTTTTTTTTTTTGAGACGAAATTTCTCTCTTGTTACCCAGGCTGGAGTGCAATGGCGCGATCTCGGCTCACCGCCACCTCCGCCTCCTGGGTTCAGGCGATTCTCCTGCCTCAGCCTCCCGAGTAGCTGGGATTACAGGCACGCGCCACCATGCCCAGCTCCAGCTAACTTTTTTTTTTAATTTTTTTTTTTTTATTTTTATTTTTTTTATTTTATAGTAGAGACAGGGTTTCACCATGTTGACCAGGATGGCCTCGATCTCTTGACCTCGTGATCCACCTGCCTCGGTCTCCCAAAGTGCTGGGATTACAGGCTTGAGCCACCGCGCCCGGCCTGGCGCCTCACTTTTCTAGCTGTTAACTCTGAGCGGTTTTGGAAAGGGTATCGTGTTAATTTTTACATGCACCCAGAACAGTGTGCCTTTTGGGAGACACTACGGAAAGTAATTATTCTTTTTTTTTTTTTGGCAGAGTAAATAAATTTGCGTGTCATAAAGGCTGTATATTTGCTTTTGTGTATTCTAGCTAGAGTCCTGTTTCTCTTATTGCGATGATTAGCTTCATCAAATAATGAGGAAAATAAACATAAGTGTGCTTGGCTATCAAGGAAACAGGGAAAGCAAAAACATGTAGCCTGCTTCCCTGTTGAGTATTTACTCAGATGTACCTTTCATTTTCCTTTTTATCTCTGTGAAAAGAAAACAAATCATGAGAACTCAAAATCACTAAGCCAAAAGGAAAAGTCAAACTGGGAACTGCTTAGGGCAAACCTGCCTCTTACTCTATTCAAAGTCATCCTTCTCACCGAGATAAATACATGTCTGATTGCCTCCTTTGGAAAGGCTCATCAGGAACTCCAAAGAATGCAACTTCCTCTTACCTACCTAAAACCTGGAACCATCCTACCCACTTGGAGTTGTCCCACCTTTCCAGATCGAACCAATGTTCATCTTACATATATTGATTGATGTCTCATGTCTCCCTAAAATGTATAAAACCAAGCCGTGCCCCAATCACCTTGGGTACATGTCGTCAGGACCTGTGTTGTGTCATGGATGCACATCCTTAACTTCGGCTAAATAAACTTTCTAAATTGATTGGACCTGTCTCAGATGTTTGAAGTTCATATATCTCACTCTTTACTATTTAAAAAATATGATTCCAGTTAGAATGAATAATATCAAGTATTTGATAGCACAACAGGGTGACTGTGGTTGTCAGAGGCATTTGAACTAGAGCAACTCCATCTTGAATAGGGGCTGGGTAAAATAAGGCTGAAACCAACCTACCAGGCTGCATTCCCAGAAGGTTACGCATTCTTAGTCACAGGGTGAGATAGGAGTTTGACAGGCAGAAAATACAGGTAATAAAGACCTTGCTGTTAAAACAGATTGCAGTAGTGAAACCAGTCAAAACTCACCAAAAACCAAGATGGTGGATAGAATGACCTCTGGTCATCTTCACTGCTCATTATATGCTAATTATAATGCATTAGCATGTTAGAAAAAACACTCCCACCGGTGCCCTGACAGTGTACAAATGCTATGGCAATGTCTGGAAGTTATCTTGTATGGGTCTAAAATGGGGAGGAACTCTCAGCCCTGGGAATTGGCCACACCTTTTCCTTGGAAAACTTGTGAATAATCCAGTCCACCCCTTGTTTAGCATGTAATTAAGAAATAAATATAGGTATCCTTAGGCCAGCAGCTCAAGCCACTGCTCCTTCTATGGAATAGCCATTCTTTTATTTCTTTGCTTTCTTAATAAACTTGCTTTCACTTTATGGATTTGCCTTCAATTCTTTCTTCCACAAAAATGCAGAAACCCTCTCTTGGGGTCTGGACTGGGACACTTTTCTGGAAATATAGTCAATAATCATTTAATTGTACATTTAAAAAACAAAGCACAAGTGAATTGTTTGTTAACGGGAAGGAAATGCTTGAGGTAATGGATACATTTACCCTGAGATGATAATTACATGCTGTATGCCTATATCAAAATATTTCATGTACCCTATAAATACATACAGCTACTGTGTACCCACAAAAACTAAAAGCTAAAAAAAAAAACTAAAAAATAAAAATACTTCTTTTAATCATGTATTGATAGAGTTGGTAAGGGGGAGCGATTTCAATTCCCTTTCCATCTAAGGACATTGCTGTAAGCAACTCAAATCCAATTCCATAAACGTATTTATCTATTAAAGTTCCCAGCTTTATTTAAAAGACAGGAACTCAGTCATAAAATCCTTCACTAAGTACTGCCAGAAAATGGCAATAGCTAGCTGATGATGGACCAAGAGGGAAAACGAGAGAAGTCAAAGAGGGAGTTTGGAAGATGGTAGGTAGTGTGGTTCCAGAGAGCATCAAGCTTCAGAGCAAGCAGAAACGTGCATTCCTAAAACACATATTTATTAATTATCAGATGCCACGGAGCACGGTGGTGGATAAGGCAGATATGATTTGGCTGTAACAATTTAAAAGTCGAATGAAGCAGATTAAAAAGATAAGTACTTACCATAAAAGTGTAAACATTCTAACAATAGGGAAGTTTAGGGTAGTATGTGCCCACTTGGCAGCCAAACTTCTTGCTTCCCTTATGAGACTCTCACAATCAGACTGAAGCTTACTTTTTGGCAACATCTCTATTGCTGCACAACACATGGAGAATAGTCTGCTGTATCCTAGCCTTACCAAGCCCTTTCAGTACCCCAGGTCTTTACTGGAATGCCTGTCCCCTTCCTTACGCCCCCAACCCTCACCTCCGCCAGACCCTCCAAGGTCATAGAAAAACAGAATAATAAACTCAGAAAGGCTCTTCAAGTTATCTGTGCTAGTGTTTTACCTGACACAGGAATAATTTCTTTGCAAAGGCCCTGGCAGATTATTTAGTTTTTGCTTGTATCCTTAAGGTGATGAAGTGTTCCGTTTTTTGAAAGGTAGATGAATCTATTTTTGGACAGATGTAACTCTTAGAAATTTCTTCGCTGTACTGCTAAAGCAAGATCTGTTTCCCTGTAGCTTCCATATGGTTTCCTTGAGTGATAAACAGACTGACTGTAATTTATTTCCCCTGACAGCCCTCCAAGTATCTGAAGCATGTCCCTCCTACCCCTGTTTTCTTTTTCTAAGTTAAGCATCCCAGTTACTTCAATTATATCTCCTGACAAGATTGCCAGACCTCTTAATATTATGGCTGCCCAATCAGAAAAAAGTTGTTAAACTCTAGTTTGCTGATGTCAATTTTAAAAAGTAATTTCCAGAAGGAATTTTGTATTTTACATGTAGTCTGATTGGAACAGTGAGATTAATTTTGTTAGATATTTTACTCTTGTTAATTGGACTCTTGGCCTAAATTGAACCAGTAATGAACTGTGGCTGTCTAGTATTTATATAAATTGCTATTGAACCAGGTTTAGTCTATTCTGTAGCTGAAGCAATTAATTTTATTTGATAAATTCACCTTGTTAGTTTTGACACGTTCATTCATTTATTAATTCATTGTTTCAATAAATACTTTTTGATGTCAGCTGTGTCTCGAACAAGCGAGATTACCACAAAGGGCAAGTTATTCCAAGTAGTTGAACAACATGAGGTCATTTCAAAATGTAAATCTAACATTCAACACCGTTATTTCTGCATCACCTGCCATCTATAAATTTCATAAATATATCTTTATTCAATTAATAACAAAAGTGATTAGTAAAAAATCAAGAATATATTCTTGTAATAAGCTGGTGATTTTGATTCATTGCTATTCCAGATTTAAAAGCTTTTGGAGGCCGGGCGTGGTGGCTTACATCTGTAATCCCAGCCCTTTGGGAAGCCGAGGCAGGTGGATCATGAGGTCAAGAAATCGGGACCATCCTGGCCAACACAGTGAAACCCCATCTCCACTAAAAATACAAAAATTAGCTGGGCATGGTGGCATGCACCTGTAGTCCCAGCTACTTGGGAGGCTGAGGCAGGAGAATTGCTTGAATTTGGGAGGAGGAGGTTGCAGTGAGCCGAGATCATGCCACTGTACTCCAGCCTGGTGCCTGGTGCCTGGCAACAGAGTGAGACTCTGTCTCAAAAAAAAAAAAAAAAAAAAAAAAAAAAAGTTTTTGTAGATAGAGAACAGTTAACAGTCTGATTTATTAACTTCATAGAAGAGAGTTAATATGTAACTCAGATTTTGATGGTCTTATATGCCATATTTCTCTTTTTGTCCCAGGAAAGATCACAGAATGCCACCTTGCTTGTGGAATTATAGAATCCATATCTGTAAGTTTTACAGGGAGTAATTTTTCAACACTTACTCTTATGGAACTCATACTGATTCCTAATAATCTTCATTTTCTTAATCTAGATCCTACAAAGCCATCCATTTAATCATTTGTTTTAGAATGTTTCCTGCTTTCCTATATATTTCTTTTTCTTCTGAGTTTAAAGCAAGGTTTAAACATCCCTTTTGATATTTTTAGTTTTTGTCATGGTGTAGGGAACAAGGTTCTGCTCACTGTGAACTTTGCCCTCTAGCAGTAGAGCAATAACTGGCATCATTTCTGCTTTGTATTGTTTTATCACTTGTACATCATGTTTGTAGTCTCACAAATGAAGCCAAATGCATATAAATACTTTAT